TTCTTCTCTTATATATACATGGGGAGAGAGTGCAAGTAGTTATGCATATGAATCGACTCATGTCAAGTGTGGCATAAGTAGGGGGACAACTTAGCCTCGAGCCGACTAGTCCCTCACTTACATTTTTCTCACAAGCCACAATCAAACCCCAAAGAAAGGAATAAAAACTAGATTATGCTATTTTGAGGTCTTTAGTGTCTAACTGCTACAATTCATATCATATCTCATTACTTTATGATTTAGACACATTTTTCCCACTTGATCTCGAATTAGCCTTAGTGTAGTTGTGCTCGTTTGGCATCTTGTTTGGGTTAGACTTAGATTCTACTTATACTTGTATATAGTTTTGTATTTTTACTTTCAGGCTATACTTGTAAAACTCCTGCGGTAAACCAAAAAAGTGAGCCTAAAAAAAATAAAATAAAATAAAATAAAAATTCAATAAAGTCTAGTATTTAGTTTGTGCACTTGAATTTTCATATGTAACCAATTTGTTTGGAGAAGTCAAATTTTTGATATTTCGTGGAATTTGAACCTTATGTTTGTGGGTTATAGTCTTTAGAAGTCTAGTAAAAAAAATATGGTTTTGAAAAGTCGGATATTATTGCAATCATAAAATGCGAGTGTAGTTATATATTTTTAGTGTTTTCCTCTTTGTGTCTTAAGTATTTGTATTTGTTTTTGTAACATGTCGTTGGGGTTTTGTTGTCCAAAAAAAAAGGGGGGGGGGGGGGGGCACGGAGTTGTATCTATTTGTTTGCTTTTGTAAATGTTTAGTTTTTCGGATTCTAGCTCATGTAATTAGTTTCTAGTTTGATGTTTTCCCAGTTAGATTATCATTTTTGTTGGCAACTACGATGGCGCCCTTCACACATCACGTGCTCGACTCTTTGCTCTACATGGATCATATTTTGGTGGAAGCACTTACTCTTCTAGATGATTATAGTTTGCCAACTTTTGTACATAGCTCGTTTCTTGCCATTTTTTGCCCGAGTTATCTTTTTTCTAGGTTTTATTTCTTGACGTAGGGTTGAAGTTGTGAGGAGTGAGGAACATTCTAACCGAGGGACACTTTCTTATGGCTAGTGGGCTAGATCGGACCACGAAACAATGTCACATAAACCATACTAGTGAAGTATGCATGCTCGTTTTGCATCTTGATCAACATGTTTCCCTTGCTAGAAAGGTAACAAAGGCTCGTCCCTTAAAGCGATTCTTACTCTAAAAATGGATTATATGTTTTTATTCTAAGGGCGTGTCGTGAATTTCTACGTAAGGTGTTCATTATTTTTCTCTTTTTAGGATAGTTCATCCCAAGTTCATTTTAGTCTTGTCTTACTTGAGGACAGGTAAGGTTCAAGCTTAGGGTGATTTGATAGTTTCGTTTTTATTACTTCTTTTCATAGTTTATTTTTAGTTAAAACCATCTCATTTTAATTAATCTTCATGCATATTTTCTTTTTTTATTATTTTTCTCCTTTGTCGGGTGCTTTCCAGTCTTTGAGCTTGTTTGCATTTTTCGAAGACTAATTGTTATTGGAGATATGGAAGGAGTGTGGGACCTTTGGAGGCTTGCGGTTTGCTTGTGGACTTGAAGTGGTGCGATTGAGCTTGGTGTTAGCATAAACAAGAAATCAAGTTGGACTTAATTTTTGAGCGAGAATGATGATGAGGCGACACAGACTCGAGCTATGGAAGATTGAAGGAGCATTGGACCAATTATTGGAGGCTTTGGAATGGCACAATTGGGATCTCAAGAGTTATGCATGTGGGCTGAAGTGTGAATGAGAAGATTGGGCTAGATTGTACTTTAAATGGCCCAAGTCCCACAATCAGCGAGACCCACATGGTCCGCGTGGACCCATACGCGGTCCGCGTGAATTGTGCTGAATTGATCCCGAGTTTTGACTTGTTGACTCTACTTGTGGAAAGTTGGTGGGTAGCTTTTGTGCAACTTTTTGAATCCGGAAATGAGCCTTATTTGCTGGAGTTTTGGGGCATTTTAAAAAAAAATCACTTCTTGGAGAAAACCACTCTTTTGGCTCTCAAGAACATTGGAGAAGAAGTTGAAGAATTGAAGATTGGTGTTATTTTCTTTCCATCTTGCAACTAGAACAATGTTTGGTATCACTAAACTATATTGCATTTCTTTTACTTTGGCCATGCTTGGCTAAACTTTCATTTGGTTGATTAGGGTTTAACCCATGGATGATTAGTTGCTTTGAAGACTTATTATTATATTGTGTTTGAAGTTTATGGAAATGTTTTCTAGTTAAACATCTTGTTGTGTTTATTTATCTTTGATCATGAGCTTAGATGAATGAATAATTATTTTTGTTGACTAATTTCTTGGTTAAGTAATGGACCCTCAAATTAGTAAGCAACAAATGGTTTATATGTTTGTTTTCATTTCATTTAGACCATGGAAATGTTTCCTCCATAATGATAATGTAAGCATTTGATTATCTTTTGGACTTGGTAACTATTAGAACTTAAAGCTAATTGATTTTCACAAGATTATATGCTTCATTGATTTTGTGACTTTAATTAAGGAAATGTGTTAAGAGCTCCTCTAGCCATTTTAATAACAATGAAGGGTTGAGGTAATTTGTGCTTATGGATTGCTATAGCCAAGTTAAATTAATTCACAAGTGTTGTTCTATTTAGTCTAATGATAAGTCAACCATGTCATCCATGTGGTGTACCCAAAATCAACCAATTTCACTTCACTGAATTTAATCAAATCTTTTACTTGTTTACTTGTCATATTTACATTCTAGCTAGTTTTAATTTTGTCAAACAATCAAAAAGAACTAAACCCCCCATTTTACTTTTACTTTTGTTTTACAAGTACTTGAACAAGTGATTTACATAGAGATTTAAATTGAGCCAATCTCCGTGGATACGATCCCTTTACCACTATACACTATTTTAGTGTGTAATATTTAGGGTATATATTTTGTTGGCCTCGACAACCACCAGTTCACAAGACATCTTCTTTAACTTCGGTAGGCAAGCTTCAATTACGGTAGCATTTTCAATTGTGGTAGACAAAACAGAGTTGCGATATCACTTCTTATTAGGTTGCGGTTCCTTTAGCTAAAGAGGGTCACTTTTTGTATCAACACTTTCCTCCTTGGACTCTTGAAAGGATGGAGGAAGAAATAATAAAAATTCAACTTTGTTTTGGCTTTAACCTATGACTTCCTTCTAAATTGTAAATAAGATGGAATGTCAGTTTGATTTCCCAATAACTCCGATAGCCTTCCAATTTTGGTGTTTTGAGAAGATTCAGAAGATTCAAATTTCAAACGTTTCAAGAAACATAAAGTTATTTAACTTCTATGTGAAGCATGTGAGACCACAATGTCACACCCCCGGCCGAAGCGGCGGAACACGTCGGGCTGTGCGACTAAGTTCATGGATCACAGGTAAATTGAATATATAGCACAAGCACAACAATAAACAAAGTAGCATTTATATTCCATATCGATGTTTGAATACAAGGTTTTTGCAAATAATAATAATACATGAATTGCCATAACTGATAGGTATATGATACAACAGCAAGTAAACTAGGTCACCTGTAATCCAATCCGTCTTGAATTGTCTGTTTAAAGATTTCCTGAGAATACATGCAGTTTTAAGAGTCAACACAAGGTTGGTCAACACAGTAATACTTTTAATAATTCACAAAAAAATATTATCTTTGTATGTATAACAATAGTTAAAATAGTTTTTGCAATGAGTCTTTAAAAGCCCAAAATGTATTTATGTATAAATAAACCCATACTTTAAACTGTCTGTAATATATCCTTGAAAGTCAAAACGTATCTTTTGTATAAGTAAAATCCATACTTTAAACTGTGTTTGTAATAAACCTTTGAATATTCTTGAAAACCAAACTATTATGTTACATAAGTACTTCCATACTTAAAAGTAGTTTTGAAAGCAACCAAGCTCATGGTTGTTAGTGAGAGAGATATTCTAGTTAACGTTTTTAGTGAGTCCTATAACCGAGCTATGTGACTGAATGTACCCCCTACAACTCTTCATTAGACGTTGTAGTAAAGATTGTAGACACGTATCACCCGCTACGATTGATCGGTCGAGGGTTGTAGCTAGCAACCGCAAGTGGGGATGTCAATCCCGTATAGATCTATACATATGTATCTCTCTCCGAAGATTAACGGTTACAGTAGTGTGGGTAGGCTAAGTATTTAAACTCAGCTAATGAATAACGTAGTGTCTCACTAAAAAGCCCTTAACTAAAAACTTTGTTTGTGAATAACTCTCAGCCCTAACTTACTTGTGGGTAAGTCACTAGACATAATGAATATCGTTGTATAAGGTTTATAAAAGCCGAGTATGTTTGACATATATGTAAAAGTGTAATGTACTCGCTTTTATAAGAATGAATGTTTTAAATTAACGAACATATGTACATGTATAAATGTGGTGTACTTAAACATATAAATAAACATGCATACTAATAGTTTGAATCCTTGAAATACTACAAAATTTTATAACGTGCTTGTTATAATATACAATGTCATATAAAAATCATATATTTTTTATCATGTAGTATTTGTTGTGTGAACTATTGGGGGTTGTTTGGTAATTTATTTTAACCAACCTAGGACTGTTTTGGTTAAAATAATTCAAGAGAGGGGCTGAAATGGTTATTTTTACTCCATGTTTAAAGATTTGGATCTATTTGTTAAAAATAATCAAAGGAGGGGACTTTTTGAATAAATGGGCCCAATATTTGTTGATTGGGACTGGTTTCGAATAAAAAGGTTCAACAGAGGGCTTAATGTGTTCATTTTGGAAAAACTAAAATGATTTAGGGCTTTTGTGTAAGGAAAAATCCCATAGAGGGACTGATTATGTTTAACTTCCAAACTTAATTAATCTAGGGTTTTTAATTCCCGTGTTTCATTCATCGGGCAATAGAAGTGGACGGATACCATTGAAAGCAGCCGACACAGAGAACACGGATGAGAGGGAGGCAGCGAGGAGTGGTGAATCGGAGGTACATCGTCGGTGCTTGGCTCGACCGGGGAAGAGAGGAGAGCGAAGGTTCGCATCGGCTAATCTGGAAGCCTTAACTGATCGCGAAGAGGGAGAAGAGACGAAGGCAGGTCTTTCTTCTGGTCCGTTTGTCGATCTATCGCAAGGAGTGGGGGGAGAAGCATCTCCGATTCCTGTCCTCGTCTGATCGGAGACGGGGAGGATTCGATTGAAGCGGGGGAGGGTGCGTCTCCGGGATTCGACGAGCCGAAGGGAAGAAAGAGAATGGAGCAGCAGCGAGGGTCGATGGGTTCCGAAGAGATGAGGGCGTGAAGAAGCAGCGATTGAGGAAGGAGGTTCCTTCGGTGCTTGGCTGGACAGATAAGGAAAAAGAAATGAAAGCATCGGGGTGGGGTTGTTGCTCCGATCAATACCAAAGCAGTGAGAGAGGGTGGGAGAAGCACATCTGGTTTTCGACTGAACCAAGGGAGGAAAGAAAAAGAACTCAGGTAATTTTTTTTTTCTTTTTCTTTTTGTTCCAGCAGCCTCTAACTGTTATTGCTTGATTTGTTTTGAAAGAAACGGAGGTAGGAAGAGGTGGTACAGTTGCTTTGATTGAGTGTTGTTTTCAGCTGAAGAATTGTGCACGTAACCTGTTTCTTTTCAACTTGATGTGCTGGAAACAAGGAAGAAGAAGAGAGAGCACGTTTACTTTGAGTGTTCATTTGTGTTGTTCATCTGAGTGTCACTTTGTATAATCTGAAAATTGTGGGATTGTTCAAAGTATAACTGGATATTAAGAGAGAGCACGTTTACTTTGAGTGTTCATTTGAGTTGTTCATTTGAGTCACAATTTCTATAATCTGAAAATTGTGGGATTGTTCAAAATATAACTGGAAATTGGATGTTTTTATTCATTTATTTATTTATTGGTATTTATTTATTTATTTGTATTTATTTATTTAAATAGATGTATTTGTGTATGTATTTGTTTCAATACATGTGTAATAAGTGTGTATTTGATTTAATTAAATAGGTATTATTGGTGTTTTTCATTTGTATATATGTATTTTTAAAACTTTTACAAATCATTTCTTAACAATTATAATCCATTTCCATTTGTCATGAATTTGTTATATATATATATATATATATATATATATATATATATATATATATATATATATCTCCTATCTTTTATGCCTACAATTATTCCTACCCACTAAAATTATGACAAATCATCATTCAATTTAATTGTATTTCATATATTTCTAATATAATATTAATGAGTTAGTTAAAAAAAATATGAAATGATGACACTTGTCATAATTTTATTGGATAGAAACATTTGTAGGCATAAAAAGTAGGAACCAATTTAATTTCTCATATATATATATATATATATATATATATATATATATATATATATATATATATATATATACCACGTGTCATGTGTTAGGCGTCTCCTTATGTTTTTTTCCTGCCCAAACTTACAAAGTGAGATTACCATTTTAACCTTCTGCCCCGTTACACTTTTATGGCATTAATTCTCTTCCAAATTATGGGCGATTTTTGATGATTCCATTTCAAATAGGGAGTAAATGATATCCCAAATAATCAGAGATTTTTTAATTTCCTTTGTAAATTCCATTTGATCAGAAAACACGTGTAATCTTCTCCAAATTTGAAATCCATTGGCTAGGGCTTCCAGCTGCATATATCCCTAATGCATACTCCCTATGTATTTCATATAGATCTCCAACGAAAGCATCTCCTTCGCCTCCGTCTCTCTCATCCCAATACACCTTCGGTTCTCACATCTTTGTAGGTGTTCCTGTCACTATTACTATATTTTGCCCTAACCACTTCTCACAAAAACTCTAGCAAGCAGCAATACTTGTAATCCTGTTCTTGATTACAAAAATGAGATCTCTAATCCGAGGAGGTATGCTTCTCCTTATAATGACAAAAATCATTTTTTTTCTTTATTGGTGTGATAATTGTATTAAACGAATTTTTTAACCTTTGAATGTAGGATGGGGTGGAAGCGGTGGTTTCAGTGGTGGTTGTGGAGATGTCAGCGGTAGAGGGGGGGGGAGGAGAAGGAGGATTCATCGGCTGAAGAAGTGTAGTTGGAAGAGACGGTGGTGGTAGAAGAGGATGTGGTGGTCGAAATCATCAACAATTCGCTTAAAATCACCTACATATTACCATATCACGTGACAAACCCGTGTCTAAAGAAATAGAAGTCTTCTTCAAACTTCATAACTCGAAGTAAGTCACGTTCACCTCTTAAGCTTGATTCCAGTTAATCTTCCAAAAACCCTTTTTCTTATGATTTCTGTTGATTTGGTTATATTCGATTATAACCCTCATTACATTCGATTTGTCTATGTAGTTAAAAGGCATAATGGGTTTATTTTCATCTTAAATTATTCAAATTGTATTTTGTTAGAGAATATTTTTATTTATTATGATAGATGTAGTTTGATTTCAAAGAGATTCTTGTGTTCTCTCATTTCAACTTCTTAAACATAGTGTTTTTTACTAATTTTTCTCCTTTGTTCAGATGGATGTGACAATCCTTATATCTAAACCTTCATGCTTTGGTTTAAAAGCTTTGTATTGAATAAGAAAATGACCTTTAATTTCGTTTACTTTTCAGGTTAATTTGGAAGCAAATTAGAACCTCATCTAATATTGGTATTTGCTTATTGGGAGACTCGATTTCTTGCTGTTGTATGTGGGTTTTGAATCTCAAATAAGGATAAGATACCTCCTTGCATGCAAACTCTCATGTATACTGCCTCTTAGCCTAAAGAAGTAAGAAAAATAGTTAGTGATGATCCTATCAATACTGTTCAATTTAACATTAGTGATACCGACAAACTTGCTGCAAACAAGTCTATTACAGAGGTTTGTAATTTTTCTTAAAGCATTCTTCACAAATAAGTGAAATATGAGGATAAATGTTGTGTGATGTTGTAGTATGTTGAAGTAGTTCCTCCAATGGAGAAGACATTATTGAGATATGTAGAACGACGTCTAAAATTATAACATTCTGTTCAACAAAGAAATTACGTGATCAATGTGGACGTAATTTTAGGGCAGCAACGATTCATGAGACAAGTCTTAGCAGGAGTGAGAGATTGGGTGTTGAAATTGTTTCGTTTAGGAGACTCCAATTTTTTTATTTGATATAAATGTTGTTACATGAGGCAAAATCAACATTGACCTTTCCAAATATTTGGTGAATATGATTTGTTTGGCAAAATCAACATTGACCTTTCCAAATATTTGGTGACTAAAAATTGGTGAAGTTTCTTGCTTATTTTGATTTTTGCGTAGTTTTGAATTAGGTATGAAATTCAATTTATATCGACTTCATGTGATATTTTATCCATACAGATTCTTGGCATACACATATGGAGAAAAGCACATGACCTTCACAATTCCATACGATAACTAATTCGGATGTGAGAAAATCATATAGATTACTGAATAATAAAATAACCATTTTTAAAATCTAATAGATTACTGGATAATAAAATGAACATTTTACCATTTGTCTATAGATGCAGACTGAAGTAGTAAGAATAAGGTGGTATGGAAGAGATCATCATCGCAATGTATTTGAGACCGTCATCGCAGTGTATTTGGAAGTATGGTGTCTTAATTGGAAAAAAAGTTATGTTTGTTTACAAGCTAAGTTGTACTGAATTTCTTATAATAGCATGTTTATTTGATCAGAATTTTAGAAAATCCATGTTTATTACTTCAACATTATGTGGAGACTTTGCAATACCAGGAAAATAAGAGATGGGTCTTGGGTGTTGCGATTGCATTAACTATAAATGTTAACCTCATGTCTTAATTGGAAAAAAAAAGCTATGTTTGTTTACAAGCTAAGTTGTACTGAATTTCTTATAATAGCTTGTTTATTTTATTAGAATTTTAGAAAATCCATGTTTATTACTTTAACATTATGTGGAGACTTTGCAATACCAGGAAAATAAGAGATGGGTCTTGGGTGTTGCGATTTCATAAACTATAAATGTTAACCTCTCAATCGACACTTACAGATATGATAATTTTAACAGATGAAAGGATGAACTATTTGGCACAAAAAGTTGATGAACTCAAAAAGAAATCATCATACAAAAGTAAAGTGTATTTACCATATTTGTCATTGTTGTGATTTGACAATTATTTGACACATACATCTCTTTTTATTTCTTGTGCATCTTTTAAATCTTTAAATTTATTTCATTAATGGGAATAAAGAAAAACCATTAAATATGACCGGTCTTACTAATTTGGTTCGGATAAAATCTGTCGGCTTAATATGGATATTAATCATGTGGCGTTATTAGGTGTAAAATGTCAATTCATCATTTGATTTAGTTTTTTAGGGGAATCTTCATAAATGGTCCATGTGGTTTCTAAGAAAATCAAGTTTCTTTATTCATGAGTGCAATTGTAAGGCTTTCTATTTTTCTTCTTTTTCTCCCTTATTTTATTGATGATACATTTTTATTTGTCACACACCAAACCGGAACAGTGGAAACGTTCGCGGGCGGAGAACGTCATGTTTAGTATCACAACACACGTATCATAGTAATCATAGTAACAAACGACCATTGTATTAATATTAAAGTGTTTACAAGTAGTGATTCACAAAAGATTGAATCCAAAAGTAAATAACAAAACAAGACATGAAGCTACTATACTTCATCTTCTGAATCCCAGCGCGCGTACTTGTCTACTAGTTTCCTGATAATACAAGTTATTTTGAAAGAGTAGATCAACATTTAAGTTGGTGAGTTCATAAGTATTTTAGTGATGTAAAGTAAGTTGTAAGTTCTTTTAAGAAAAGTTCGCTTGTTCCTCCAGAAGATCCTATATCTTCCGATATGATGAAAGATAAGTAAAAATGACTCTACAATCCCTTCTATGAGTGCTAAATGGATACAAGTTATATAGATTCCAGATCAAACAAATAATCAATTGTGTGAATCTGCCCTAAGCTCACAACCAAACAATGAACAGGAAATGAGGCGGAAGTCACACATCCCATTGTTTGTTAGATCTTTACTGTATATAACCCCGGTGTATTCTTTTGGTACTCACGGAGTTAACTGTAATAGTTCCTTTATATTTGATGAAAACATTCTTTAAGAAAAACCCTTATTTCCTTTAGTAAAAATGGTAACCACAATAGTTCCTTCTATAATCACTTAGTTTATACTAGCTATATATAATCTAATGTCGAACGGATAGTTAGTTGTGTGAATCTTCCCTAAGCCCACAACCAAACAAGGAACAGGAAGTAAGGCGGAAATCACACATCCAACTACCTATCGGATATTAATTATATATAACCCTGATGTATAAACTAATGTATTATAAAATTAACCACTTAAGGTCCTTTAAGTTTTACTGGTTTAATAAAATGGATTAAACCCTTTACTGGTAAGTTTCTAGTTTAGTTTACTCATGATCTATCTGAAAAATATGTTTTTATACTAGAAAACGGTTTACTGAATTTGTATACTATGACCTGACCCATATATGGCACTCCTTATGATTACTTGGTGTATACGTAATATATATATATATATATATATATATATATATATATATAGCTAAGGTCGATTAGATAGTAAACTGGGTGAATCTACTCTAAGCTCACAACCAAACAAGGAACAGGAAATGAAGCGGAAAGCACACATCCTACTACCTGTCGGACCCGATTAATATATATCCCTGATGTATAAACTAAGGAATCATAAAGTTAGCATTATAGGCCCCTTTCTACTGAATGTACTAAGACCGACTGTTCTGTTTGTCGATTGTAATGATGTAAGTTTTCCCAAGTTTAAGACTATCTTTGCTGGAAAATAGTT